CTCAGAATGTACAGCCTGGTGAGTGTCTCTCTCCAACTGTCTCCCAGTAAAAGTAAATATATGTAGAATTTAATTTTAAAAAGTACAGAGATGGTTTGCCTGTCTCAAGTTAAATGTCTTCTTTCCACATCCAGATCACCAATATGCATACGCCCTACAACAACCTCAGAATGTACAGCCTGGTGAGTGTCTCTCTCCAACTGTCCAACTATGTAGAATTTAATAAGAAATACAATAACAGTTTGCCAGTCATCAGGAATTTTCCACACATTATCAGTGGCGCTTATTCTTTTGAGGGTCTGCTTTCACACATGCACTGAACTCTGGAGAACCTCTGCAAGGACATGTATGTGTGAATGCAAATGTCCGAGTATAAAGTAAATCTGAGAACACAGCTGGAGATCCGCTGCGAGCGAACACCACTGTGCTGCCCTCATGTTATCTGCTTATTTCTCTTTTATTCTAATGTTGTTCTATTTGAATCATCTTTCTCAAGCTAAATGTCTTCTTCTCATACCCAGTTCACCCACCTGATCACCATCTCTCCCCACAACAGCCTCAGATTGTGCAACCTGGTGAGGGTCTCTCTTCATTTGACTCTCTCTGCATACTTGCTTGCATGGGACCATGAGAATAACTTTTCAGGTCAGAGGCCTGCTATATTGCCAACTTTCCAGTGGATGCAGCTTGTTCAGTTTCCGAATGAAGCTTCCCTCTTTTTCCCCTCGGTGTTGCTTCTGTTCCTCCAGAGCTTGAGTTATTTTAAAAGCATAAGCAACAAGTGCAGCTTTATCTGCCTCAGCTTCTTGTGCTGAATATGTGGTTTCTAATTTACTTGACTTTACTTTGACTTTAGTGTTCACTAAAAACATTATAAACAATGTTTAGATTAACGTCACTCTACCGCTTTGATATACAACACTCCAAACCTTATTATTTGGAGTAACATTTCCAATTAAACTGCTTTGCATGAAACCCACAATTTTGCATCAGCAAAACACCATTAAACATCCTTTTTGCTTTAAACAATATTTCATGTTTTCCCCCTTTCATCACATGACAACAGATCCAACACAGATTCATATGTACATTTTACTTCACCACACAATTCAATCAATTCTTTAAGAGCATTCTTTATCTGCGTTGTGTCATCCTTTACCATTCAATCTTGCAATGATTTTCTCATACAGTTTGCTTTATTAAGTTTGGCTTTTTTTCCAACTTCCGGCAAGATCTGAGTTACTGGCTTTGAGTTTGTGTTATGTGCTAAGGGAAAAATACAAATTCACTTATTATCTACTCACCCCTATGCCAATGGAGGGGTGGGTGAAGTGTTTGAGTCCACAAAACGCTTCTGGAGTTTCAAGGGTAAACAGCGTTGCAGCCAAATCCAATAATTATCAATAACAATTTGACCTCACCAATAAATCTCAGCCTCTTCATGGTGTGTGTGTGTGTGAGTGTTGCAGAATGAAGATGGGATTTTGGACAGAGAGAGGCATATGGTCAATCCAAACACAGGTGAGCCTTGTGGCCACGTGGTTATAATAATAAGTATTATTATGTGGTTGTTATTATTATGGTTATAATTTAAGTAAATGGTGACCACATCTACAGAAAGAAACTCCATAAAATCCCTCCACACTGCTCGTTTGTTGTTATCCAAGTGTCTGTAAGCTCCGACATTCAAATTCAACTTGAAACGGTGTCTTTTACACCAAGTTTTTAGCCTAAATGTCCTCTGATATCCTCCTCCTAGTTGCTGCTGCAGTATCCCTTCAACAGCAGTTCACACTAGACCCACACAATTTAAATGCCCATTAGAAGATTTAAACAGTATAGTGCTAAACAGCTCTCAGCCTTGGGTGCGGTGCAGTAATGCAATGTTCAGGATACTCCACGGCCAGCGTCGGTATAAGCATTATATTAACATTATTCCTGCGTGCCACCAATAGGTCCTTAAGTTGATCAAACAGAATTACCAACAGCTCGCAGCAGCTCTTCTAATTCCAGACGTGCCGAACATTGACCTAAGTCTATTTCCACGGATAAACAAACACAAAAACACTTTCACCCGCATGGGTCGAACACCTAACCACCTTGCTGAGCTTCCCATGCACTCAAATACCAGTACCTTTACTCACACACAGCAATACCCAGTGTACTCAGGGGAATTTACATGGTTGTTTCAGTGACATATTTGTCTCCTACAAGTATTTTTTTTTCTACAGTGATGTTTATGGTGCAGCAACTGCCAAAGGAGGCTCCAGGACAGATGGTATGTCCTGGCTGCCGCCACACTGTTCTCAGTATAATCAAGTACAAAAGAGGTGTGCTCAGCTGGACGCTCTGTGGTGTACTTTTTGCCTTTTTGTGAGTAGACACACACGTACACACACACACACACACTGGTACACACACTAAGTAAGCATTATTTTGACTTTATAATCCTCAACTCCAGGTGCTGGCCTTGTTTCTGGATCCCCTTGGTTGCGGATGCTTGTAAGGATGTGGAGCATTCCTGCCCCATATGTAAAACTATCCTGCATGTCTATAAACGCAGATGAAACAGAAGTGTCGTCTCAACACCAAAAGATGTAAAAATGAGCTATGATGAAACTGATGTCTGTACAGGGGCCAAACCAGTCTATACAAATGTCACTGAGCTCACTCATGAAAGTTGGTGGTTTCTTTTTTTAAGTCTTATTCTCATCAGCAAATAATCATAATATAATCATGTTATAATTTATTGGTTCTTTGATCCTTAATTAGCAGAATATACAGCGAATAATGCTTCAGTGACACTCACACAATTTGATCGGAACAAACTGGAATATAGTTTGCAGTGCCATCTAGAGGGGTAAGGTAAAAGAATACTTACATACAGTAAGATACAGTTTACACAGAAATGATTGTTGTATGAGAGTCATCAGAAACATGACATGACTTTTGAAGTTATGCTGTTTCCTTGTGGAATAAAGGAATAAAAATGATCCAGAGAGAGTAATATCAAAAATCAATATCAAGAGGAAAGAAGTTGTGTATTATATTTGCAATCCATATAATGATTTCATGCTATGATTTAAGCGATATACCCTGATGTAGTCTGTGCTGGTGTGATTTTCGGTTTGTGATTTCATCAATAAAGACAAATAAATGAAGAGAGAGAAGATTTTTTTTTTTTTAATTGCTAGGGTCCAAAAAGTTGCAAATGGTTGTGTATTTGGCTTAAGACCAAATTAAATTTTACATTTAGCAGATAGAGCTAGCAGACTCCAAGAGAGAGCAAGCATCAGTTTCCCACAATACACCACTGCCACTTCTTCTTCATGATGAACCGTACCGTCTCGTACCCACTCCCCAACAGCACAGAAGATAAGATGTGAATTAAAAAGACTCCACCGTGCACAGCACACATGCCTTTACAACAAATCTAGGCCGCTGTTATGATTTCATAACTGAAACCCTTGAACTTGGCACCAAACCGGTAAATGTCCATTGTTGATCAAGAGGAGAAAACTAAAACTCCTCAGCTGTGAAGGTTTTTCACTGTGTAAGTGTGAAGGAAGGTGTTGCAGAGTCACTATAACATGCGATGTATGTTCAGCCCAATGAGCTTTCTCCTGAGGACTTCCTTTGTGCCCTCTATTTGTGTCTTGTCAGAAGAGACTTGAGGTGGGATAAACATGGGATTATGGGATGGCTCCTACTTAACAAGGTCCTGTCACACTGTGACCATAGTAACCACTAGATTACCCTGATTAGGACTGATGACCCAAGTTAGTCAGCACTTCTCTGCTCTATTGTCTCCCACTGCAGCCTTTCTTTGTGTCAAAGGACTCCAAAAGACAAAGCAGCACAGATAGCACACACCAGACAAACCTCACCTAAGTGTCAGGATTGTAAGTAATGAATAGTTATTTTAATTATCAGTTCATCAGACACTTAATTTCTCATCAATAAATTAAATGTGTGGCCACTAAAAAGACATTTGGGAAATATACCCTCTCATACCTGTAGGTTAAGTATGAAGCAGCAGCCAGCAGCCTCAGCAGCTGAATGACTGGAGGCAGGAGACCAGCTGAGCTTGTAACTTCGTGGATTGTCCACTGGTTACCTGGCAACCGCCACAGAAAGAGTCTTGCAAATGGTGTAGCTAACCATTCCTTTAAAAATGCACAATTTCCTCATCACAATTTCCTAAATTCACAGAATTGTCTTGAATTGTCCGACACTTTAAAAGAGAAAGCATCAAATTCTCCCTTTCAAAAAAATATGTAGCATCTTGGTTTGGGAAATGACTTGAATAATAATATTTCATAAAATGGCTCAGATC